CCAGGATCTCTCCCTTGTAAGAAAAACTCAGTGGACCACTGTCGTCCTCTTAAAACAAAACTTCTCAATATTGATTGTAATGCAAATGATATATTCCTTTCCATTTTTAAATTATCAAATTGATTGTTTAACCACAATAGACTTTGAACAGCCTTCCAGCATAAAGTTCTTTTCGTAACTGTAGCAATATCAAAATTTTCGTTTGTAATTAGTTCTCCACGCGTTTTTTTTTTGTTACGTCATTAGAGCGTGATCATCTCATTGTCAACTCAGTAACAGGTGTCCAATTCAGTTAAACTTGCTCAAACTGGACACCTACGCCAATCTTGATTAATTACATGCACTTAATGGGTTTCTTTTGTGGTGTTTTTTCAGTTTATAAAACTGAAGAAATATACTAGCGTACCAGCGACTTTTTTTGGCCAAAAACAGTTCCTCAAAGACTTCATGAACTGGAATTTGGTTAAGATACGATTAGAAGTCACTGGATTTTGTGGAGCACAGTTCAGGGAGTAAACATTGCTGTAATTTAGAGTCAATCTCTCAACATGCCTGCCAACACACGTCGTTCACTCCGACTCTGAAATGACTACACTCAGCCCAATAACTACCCCTTATCAACGTTCAAAATTCTGTAATAAACTTACCACCTTACCACTTTATCAACTTTGAATTGTTAATCAAGTACTAAGTGTTTTATTTGGCCGCCGAGATAGCTGGAGTTTTTCAGCCTCTGACAGATGCAGCGCGAAAAACGGCGAGAGAAAAAGGAGAGACGCCTTGGTGCGAGACTTCTCCCATATTTATTCGCACGCCGGCTTCAACCAAATGAACACCGAGAGAGGCTGCAGCTTCTTTACATACTAAAAATAAAAATTACAATTTCCTCGACTGTGATTGGTTTAAAAAAACTCCTATTTCCCCCCAATTCTATTATTAATTCACTTGCAAAGTTGTTATCGGACAGTTTGTTAAAGTGCCCTAGTCAGCCACTCCTTTGTTTTTGTTTACATCCGAGAGTTTGGCTATTATATTTTATTCGGAGCATGTCGAAACGAAGGAGATCACTATAAGACTACTTAAGATAATTTAAAAACATACTTTCAGGAACACGACCTATTGAAAAAAAATTCAGATTTCGCTTCACCATGCAATATCAACAATTTCGATGACATCGAAAATGGCGGAGGCTGACTAGGGTTCTTTAACGGACAGTTCAATAAGCACTCAAAGTTGTGGTTTAAATCAACCAATCGTAACCTTGGTTTCAATCAGCAACCACTTACGCCTCCTCTCTCAGTCTTTTAATGCAAAATTTCCCTTTTTTCATAACTTGGCTAGTCTTTTTTTCTTGGAAATTGTAATTTTTATGATTAATCGGTAATAAAACTTCGTGTGTCCGATTTTGTTATCATTCATATGATTACAGACTGAATTGGACGACACAAAGTCCTTTTACAGTGGAACCTCGATTTAACGAAGTCGCTAGGGACCGGCCAAATTTGTTCGTTAAATGGAGGGTTTGTTATATCGAAAACCTCGATATAACGAATTTGAGGGGAAACGACCAAAAAGTTCGTTATATCGAGGTCATAGTTAATGACTGATTTGTAACACAGGTGACTTCTGTGGAAATACTATAGTGCCCATGTCTACGACATGTGATAAGACATCGACTGAAAGGTTGCTGTCTCTTTACCATAAGAATTAAAGGATGTGTTGACTGTTCAGCGTTTATCTTCAGACGCGTGTTGACATTGTAATTCGTTATATCGAGGTAGATTTTACGTTTGGGCTTCCGGATTATATTCGTTAAATCGAAGAATTCGTTATATCGAGGTTTTATTCCATACATTTTACGGTAACTTTGGCCGGGACGTAAAATCTCGTTCGTTATATCGAGGACTTCGTTAAATGGAAGTTCGTTAAATCGAGGTTCCACTGTACTAATCCTCCAAGATATCTTTTTTTTTTTTAACAATAATCGTAAGAATTTTTAAGTATATTACGATGATACCGCTTGATAGTTTTCTCTGTTCTCTTCACCTGTTTAGTGGACATTATATCGATATGGTGGGGAGAAATTCCATGTTTATCCCTTATAGGATTAAAGCACCAGCTGCTTTTATATTTGTCTTTGAGCTTCTAACTTCCGGTTTTTAGTCGACGTTGATAACTATACTTTATAATTACTATATTAATTGATAAGGAATTTGTTTTTCGGACTATATCTACCGATATATGTTTAATCACAAGGACGTTTGTGGCGTGTGACATAGGAAAGACAGTAGGCTTT